AGTTGTCATTATCCTGCCTTTATTCCATTATTTGGTGTAATATTTTCTTCCATTGTGTAGTTACCTAATAGACGAAGATTTCAATTCACTGCTGAGTTTATTCATGCTCACAGTCGTTTTCTCAAATTTAAAATTATAAAATGAAAACAACTTTAATGTTTGGTTGACTTAATACAAATAGTCTGAAACATAGCCATCACTTGATTGCTATGTCTATGATGACAAAGTAATGATACGAAATATGTAATTTATCATTACTTTCTCAAAATAAAATTTATAATGTCGACAAGAATTTAGTAATCGCGTGCTCTTTATGTGTTGTTTAAGATTTGACTTCAAGACTTGAAACTAAGTATTATGAGATGCAGGATCTCTTATGAATAATTGAAAAAAAAATAATCAGTGTCATCAATTTTGTAGTTTACAAACATCGAAGCAGAAGTTACTGAGTAAAATAAACCCAATACGCAGCGATTGATTTAAGACAGAGAAATGCCCTTTGAACGTGCAACTCTCTAAGCCATTCATATCGCAATGTTAAGAAATACCATAGATTGCTGCAATGCAATGCATAATACTACAAAGAATAAATAGTAAATAATTTTGAACGACTAACACGCCTAAGGTTAATGTTGTTTAATAAACATGTACTTGGTGTATATTAGAGTAATAAGTAGATATCTATCCTGTTAAAAACATATAACTGTTATATAACTGTTGCCGTCAAAACGCTATGAAATTTGACACAAATTTATAGGAATACACAACAAATGTGTCTAAGTGTATCCTCTCATCTCTCTCTCTTTTTCTCTCATAACATTTAAAAAATATTATTTGCAATTGATAATATTACATGATTTTTCCTTTAATTATTTTCATATATCAATTAAGTTCCTCCATATAACACTACTGAAAATTATAATTCATAAATATTTTTAACTGACTGTCATAAAAAAATACTTATTAACTCTTAAAGTAAGTAGGAACAGTGAGAAATGAACGCAAGTAACCCTTTTGATCGTTGTGATAAAATTCCAAATTATAAATCTAAATTCAATAGACGTGTTTCTACTACGATCTACGCGCTCCGTTTAGATCAGCATCGCAATGCATCATACCTAGAATATTTAATTATTGTTCAATATGTTCAGTAAGCTCTATAGAATATAGAAAACAATTATCATACTTATTTTAGAGTAAATTTTAAAGTACAAAGTCTTTAAAGAAATCAATATGTGATAGTAGAATAGTGCTCGTTTGAAATCTTTCTACGCTGCTGGTTTCCATTTCTACCAGGAAATTACTGATTTTTCACATGTTCGTACTATCAGATGACATATAATACAACACAATGACAAAAATAGTCAGCTGGCTGTTAACAACAAATGGTCATGCTAAACTGTTAACTGTCTAAAAACCTACTTATGCGGTTATGTTATATACTTATCCATAGTTGATCTTAACAAAGGAAATAATATAATGTGAGTACAAATACATATATAAATAACGTGAATTTATATTTACTACCAAACCACTAATCTTATACAAAATTTTAGTCCGTCATTAAAATGGGGCCATTATCATATTTTGTGTTATTTTTTAATTCACTTCATATTTTTATAATAACAACTTGAACCGTTTATACAAATATCTACGGATCGAACAAAATCTTACCTTCTAATAATAATCAGGTAATACGTTTTACGACCACGATAAATGCAGCTCGCTTCCAATTTAAACTAGAAATAATTGACTTGTAACCGATCAAGATATAATAAACGATTTACTCGACAAAGACCTAGAGGAATTTAATATTGGATAAAAATCACGAAGTAATGAAAATGATCCTAACTTTCCTGTCGGAGAGTTTATAACAAGCCCGTGATATTGCCATGTAAGGTTAAAATTTTGTTAAAATTGTACCCGCATCGTACCCTGCAGTACTCTTAAATCACACTATAATAAATTTAAAGCTACGATAAAATACTTAACACTACACTTAACTCTATTATGGAAGACATAATTAGACATATTACGGATAATAACGAAAACAGGTCTTAAATATGCAAAACAAACAGAGTGATTTTCTCAAAAAGAAAGGTCCTGAAATCGTAGATCAAAGTATGTAACAAAGACCTTTCAGTTTTTACAACGTAGCAATTGATACAATTAGTGGTAGAATCCCGGTAGTGATGTTAAACATGTTGATAGGACCTATGATCAAGATTGATGTGGTCAAGAATTAAGTCACTATTCACTTAAATATACACTTAAGTAATATGATGACAGATAATATAATCCTAAAACAAATTACCATTTGAAAGTGCTAACGATAATAATTATAATTAATAATTTTAAACTGAGGCTATATTAAGTTTATTTCAATAATAAATATATAGTACGACTACCGCTCTACTTAAAATCACCGACGATATTAGATATGGTATGGAAAATTCGCAAGTGACAGTTTTGGCATTCCTAGATTTGAGTAATGCATTTAACACCGTTGATATCGATATCCTATTGGCTCGAATGCGTTCAATGAACATATCTCCAACGGTAACTAACTGGTTTCATAATTACCTGTATGGGCGTCGGCAGCGTATACGCGTTGACAATACCCATTCCTCGTGGTGTCAAACTTCTGCCGGCGTACCTCAGGGTGACGTCTTATCACCGCTTCTTTTTGCGTTATTTATTAACTCTATTACTATGCAACTTCATTCCTCCTACCACCTTTACGCAGATGACCTCCAGATCTATACTCAATCTCCATTAGATGATATTGACATTGCCATAGATACGATTACTGCAGATCTGGAGCTCATATCCAACTGGTGCAAAAACTTCGGTTTAACACTGAACGCCTCAAAAACATAGGCCATTATTATTGGTAGTCCACGGTATATTGGTAGAATCAATTGGTGCACCCTACCTCGAATAGTGTTAGATGGTACGTACATTGAATATAGTGATAGTATTAAATACCTAGGACAGGACATTGTCTTGGTCTGTTCAGATTGCTTAGGTTAGTCGCAAGATTTTTGCTGCCGCGGGATCACTCAGGAGGTTGGGCAACCTTTTGCCGGTCAGCACCAAAATTACGCTTGCGCATACCCTATTCCTTCATATCCTTGATTACGCTGATATCTGCTATCTGGACCTCACCGAAGACCAATTAAACAAACTTGAGCGTCTTCAAAACCTTAAAACTCCTTCACATAGTTCCTCATTCTACAATAAATCCTTCCTTCCTTCTCCTTCTCAGTCCATGCTGTTCGCCTTTGGAATTCTATACCTTACTCCATTCGTAGCGCACAATCACTACCCATTTTTAAGAGCTCGGTTAAATCCCATTACCTCTCCACTTAAATTTCCCTGTACTCCTTCTTGCAATGGGTCTTGTTTCTTTGCATATGACATTGTTGTTTTGTACTTGCATTTCTGTGTATTTATATATCTATGTATGTAAGTATATATTTTATATATAGTATATATAAAGTGTGTTATTTTCTAATATTTATTGGTATTATTATCCTATCCCTATTATTATATTACCTTTATATATATATTCTTCCATTCTATTCATGCGCCACCTACCACTTTTGTTGTATTTTCTCTACCTTAAAGGTTGTCTGGAAGAGATTGCTTCTAGCGATAAGACCGCCTTTTGTACTTCCATATCTCTTTTCTGTATAATTCTTATGTATTAATTATATTGGTGCAATAAAGAGTTTATAAATAAATAAATAAATAACGAATATAATTATATATAACGAAGAACAATATAGAATGGACATCACAAAATGTATTATGGCGCCTCTAAAATTCTAATAATGTGATACCATTAAACAAAGATATTGTTAAATTGTACTCTGACTTTGGATTTTGCGGATAAAATAGATTATGCCTCCAGTAGTTACTTACCCAAACAGTCTATGATGGAGCAGAGAGTTCAAACATTTAAAAAAAGTTATCAGTTTACTTAAAATTCCAGGTATTATTATTGATATTTTATTGTTGATACAGGTAGGGTCAATGAGTTCATAATGATATAGTAAAACAAAATTTTCAAATTCAAATTGTCTAGATTCTTAAATACGAAAACCTATTAAATATATGTGTATATGTAGTAAAATATACTACTAAAACATTTCGTCCTTTGAACTCTTGGGTGGTTGTGGACTACTAAAACCACATCCTACAAAATATACACAGTCATGTCACCAGGTTTTAACGTCACATAGTTTTATTCACAATACCTTTCATTTCTTTATTAACGAAATAAAGTACAAATTCAAACTGATGAAATGTGATAGTAAATTATCACAATTTTGTATACGAATCTATCGTATGGCAAATATTATATAATTTACGTACGTACAAACCCACCAATAATAAGAAGGACCTACAAAAGCGGACTTAAGTCTGAAATTTGTTTTATTATAATTATATTTTTTATCTTTGTAATCTACAGGGTACAGTTATTAATGTTTTCGGAGAATGTTCATTAGCATTTATCTCATTAAACGTCTAATTTAAATTAATTGGTATATAATTACTCATGAGTACACCTACTTACATACAATTACATAAGGATGTATATATACTTGATAAATTGGGGTGTTCATTTGACATTAAACTCACTGTAGTAGATTAGTACCTGCAATTAAAAATCAGTTAAAAGTGACCAGTAAATAACTCATCAACGCCAACTGCACCCGCTAAGCAGATCTCAACTAACAACTGATACCTACGATTAATTACATACGTATATAGACGAGTTTTAAAAAATGTGTTATCGTTATTATTTTTTTCTGCTTAAACCATGTGTAATTATCAGATTTTATTATGTAACACTAGATGTGCCTGCAGCTTCATACTCATCAGATTTTCAATTAATTCAGTTTCTAATAAAATATTAAAACTGGTAATTTATCTTATACTCAACTCAGAACTCAGGGTGGTATAGCAGTATTAATTATTGTTAATTGTTACAGCGACCAGAAAACCTCGAATCGCCCCTGTCAGCTTCTCGCGACACGAAGACTGTGTACGCTATGAATGATCAGGTTAGTACCAATTAAGATAGATAATACCAAAATTAATCGACTATAGATTCTAACTATACATCCGTTTCTGGCTTTCAACCGAATTCGTAGGTATATTTTTCATCCGTAGGGCGATACAATACATGATTTAACCATCGCCTGTGTACTTAAATAAATTATATTTATTAGTATCAATCATCAATTCGTATCAAATTCCAGAAAATTAATTAAATATTATCACCACGTCTGAAATACACTTTCTTAATAACATGTAAAATATTGCATACAGGATTCTATATGCATGTAAGATATTCAAAGAAATAATACAATAAAGTATAGTTAGTTCTAAACAATGGCACAATCATACGGAAACTTTTTGTTTCCATTGATGTTGTACAGATAGAGTTCTTGTGGTACGTAATTCTCCTACCTAAGTAATAATTAGACTTGCACTTTCTTGTATATAACCTATATACAAAAAATATTATTTATAAATGGGAAAGTATGTCTGTTTGCTTGTCTATTTGTTACCTTTCACAACTAAACGTCTAAACGTATCTTCACGAAATGAACTACTATGAGTATATATACATACTCGTATAGCTACAGAAAAAAATCTGGAACGCAGTAAAGTAGGAGATGAATATTTATGTAGAAAATTATTAATCGTAAAGCTATCGAAATCTATTCTATAGGTATAGCCAGTAACTAATTTTCAATATATCTTTGACGTGCTGTAAATATTTTCATAATATACCCCAAAAATATCTTTGCAGATGAATTTGAAACCACTATCAATAGTTATTTTATAACTTTTATCTACATTACATTTACTATTTAATTATTTTTTATTTATATATAAATATATAACAAAATTTATAAATTACAACGAAGTAATATAATTTACGTTAATGACTTCATTAAGAGCATTGTGCTAGCTTTTAATTTGCTAAATAAGAATTGAGATGAATTACATTCTGTCTTGTTGTTAGTGCCAATATTCAATTCTTGTAACCATATCCATATCTATAGCGCCATCTAGTGATCACTGGACAAAAACAATATCTGTTAATATAATTTCCTAAACAAGCATTAAAATAAACTTTAAATTTCTAATTTATAAGGTCTATTTTCATCAATAACGTATATCATTAAAAGCAAGAATAACTTAATAGGGCCGTCTACGTTTTGTGCTACGTCATCTAGTGAGCAGTAGACAACCTATTAAAATAAATTTCCTAAATAAAAATTGATATGAAAAGTTATAATTTTAGAATTAAGAATTTTAAAAGTTTGTTATGATCCTGTTCCTTAACCCACCCTCGGAACTGCGGCTGATATTCACTAGGCTCCATAATACAACTATCTTAGCCATTATATAAGTATTCAACCTGGAGGAAATTGGTTATATAGACCTGTTGCTAGTTCGCAGGTCATAATAGTTAATGTAAATAAAATGTCTGTGTATCTTTGTGTCTATAGTGGCATTGTATCTCCCATTTTGATGCGGTTTTTATGTTTGTATGCAGACGTGTTCGAAAAGGTTGATAACTACAAAATTTTAGAGTATTTATTTTATTCGGATTTAATTTTAATTTTATAATTATTTACAATGTCAGTTTAGGTAGTGTGTATGTTTTGTATCTATCTATAATCATTTAATGTTCTCGTAGTGTCCTAAATGAATCAAAAGTGTAAACTATTGACTGATAACACGTGAGGTTTAGTCTTCGATATAAAAAATTAAAGATTTAATTCTTATTTTAAATTAATTTTCATTAGCATAATAAAACGAGTTCAGGTTTCTATTATTCAATTTTTATAACATTGAGCTGTTCTGTTTTAAATAACAATAAAAACTTAAATGTAGGTAAGACACGTTTAGTAGTGTATAATATATCTTGAATGTGACTTTTATCCCAGATAAGGTAGCCAGAGACGTTGGCTTCTATCGACGTGAGATGACGTAACACTTGAGGTGTACACATTTTGGGTGGGTAATGTACTCAATATAGCAAGCAATTAGCCAATAGCTATTTCTATTTGTTCTCTTTATTTGGTCTTTCCATGACCAGTCGAGGTCTTTCCGTGACTTGTCATTTTTTTTTTAGTAAAATTCGATCCGATACGATGCGATGTTTATTTGTTCTGATTTTTTGATGTACCTAAGTCGAATTGTAAATCACTGTTTCAATAATTTTGGTACAAAACAAAATATCTATAACAATTTCACATGGTCTACTTAAATATATGGTTTAATTAAATAATATATAACGTTTCATGTATGAAAAGCAGCAAGCATAAAATTAAGAGCATTATAAGCAACCATAGGGTTTTTTATATCAATAGATAGATATAGCTGTTATGCAGTACCTATACATGGCATGTATATCACAGATTTATACTTCGATATTACAAATCACGATGGTTCTTGTTATTCTTTTAATATAAACACAGAACTAAATCTACTGGTTACAGAAAGAATCATTAAAATCTTTTTATTACGTCTACAAAAGTCAATGGGTGTTTTATGGGAATGGGTATAAAAATTTACAATAAGATAGCAAAGGGTACCTATACTGGAATTACCTTTAAATAAATTCAAAACATCTGTTAAATCATATTCATAGCCTCACTAGCTTTTAAATAAAACGAAATTCAGGTCAGGACGAATTCAAAAATATTTATACAAAAAATTAAACGTTCATAAGTGGCTAAAAATGTCCTATATGAATGAATGGATTTTTATTTGATTTTATATAATTGGAAAAGATCGAAGTCTACTGTATGTATATATTAAATACTAATGTCATAAATGCGATAGTGTTGCTGTCTGTTTGTTAGGTACGAACTGAATGTAATGACATAACATTTGACTTGAAGATAGATTCTATCATGAGACATAGGTAATCTTTTATTCCAAAAATGCAGACGAAATCGAAAATAAGAGCTCATCATAAACTTTTAATAAGCAACATATTGCATTTATCCATTATTAGTTCTTATATCGTAATGATTAAAGTCAGCCCATTTAAAGGAGTGATGTACATAAACTTTTTATTTGTTGCAGACATTTCATACACCATCATTTGGCGACGAAGAGTTCGACATTCCCCTCATGCATGGTCAACATGCAACACCCGCAGGAGTGCAAAACTCACACATCCAGTACAGTCAGTTACACCATACAGCTCCTCAGGTTTGTAATCCATGCTAAAAAAATGCTATCTATACCAACATTAAAAAGAGGTAAGATTTGATGTTTCTTTATATTGAATAGGCTCCGAAACTACTGGACCGACTTGAATAGACGGATATAAGTTACCTATTATATATAAAAAAATTGATAATGTCACAGACAAAAGCTAGTTAAATAGGTAAAATGATTGAAGTCAGAATATAATTACATTTCTTGCCAAGATAAAAGATGCGAAATGAATACCGCGAATTGAGTTACGAACCAAACCTATGCTATACCAAGATAATACTAATATTAGGTAGGTACATTATCATCTGTAGTAGCACCATACTTATATCAATACAGAAACTTTGCAGTCTTACGTCCAGTTTTGCATTTAATAAATAGACTGCTTTATAATCAACAACTACTCGAGAAAATAAATTAATTATGCTAAAAATTCACATAAAAGTTATTACAAGTTATTTATTATTGGAATGCCAAATAAATTTTATATATATATATTTAAATAAAAATGAATGTTTGTATGTTTTCTTTTTCTATGGGTTTCTTGATTGTATCATAATTATGATATTCTGAGATCTTCCAAGAGAGTTTCTGACCCAATACGATATAACTATATAAATATATATATTCGTATGATTTTTGTTTGCAAATGATCACTTTAGTGAGTTATGTTTTGCACTACTATAAAAACAGATATAAAAGTATTTTTTGACATTATAGTAATTACTCTTTAACATTTTATGGCATTGTAACATATTCCAGGGACAGCTAGAGTTGTATAAATATTATATCATTAATAGATAATTTGCATAAGGATATTTGCAAAATAATATAAAATTACCACAATAAAATAGATAATAATATGATATTAGATATCGTACTCAATAAGTGAGGACAAGAATACTGTCGACTAGAATTACTCAATAGCACAATGGTATTCGATGCTGTCCTACATTTTAGATTGATTTTTATTGAAATTAAATTGCCTGTCAATGTTCCGTTTTATTGTCAGAGTGAAGTAAAATCTCTTTATTAGATTTACTCAGGCAGTAAGTAGTATGATTTTCTTACTTTGATACATTTAAAAATTCTGTGTACGGTACAGACACCCTACGAAAGGTAGGTACCCTACGAAACAAGTAATTTTATAGTTGACTAGCTTTTCCCCCGAAATCGTCCGCGTGATATTTAACTTTATTTTTCTAAAATAAATGAATTTTTCTATAATAAAAGTAGCCTAAGTTACTCCTTATTAGGTGAGTTACCTGCCAAAAAATAGTCCCATCAAAATCAGTCTAGCCATTTCAGATTAGCCGGAATAAACAGACAGACTTTTTTACATGCAGTAAAAAACGGTTATTTCAATATTATAAACAAAACAGACACTCCAATTTTATTTATATGTATAGATAAGTTTGTGAATAAATAGCATTTAAGTACTTATATAATTTGTTGCATAAATATATTATTTATGTAGGAACCTAATAGCCGTATATGTAGGTATATCATAAACAACGTTAGATAGGTAATTAAAATATAATTGCATTAGAAAAAATACCCAATCCAATTTTTATTATTTAACTAACCTACATAATTTTCAAACCATCAAAATTACGCACAGAGACATCAACGCAATATCAGATAAACATTAACTATATATACGATATCGAGTTGATATGGTAAAGCGATAATACCTACAGAATTTGGGTGACTGTTCTCAGTATATTCTTGGTTACAAGAGATATCGCCAATACATACATATTAACTGCCTGTACACATAAGCTCTTTCACGCGCGATCAGGAGCAAGCGCGCAATAACGCGGGAAATCCTGTACTGTGAGTGATTGCTATTTTTCGTGTCCAATCCCACGTGATCGCCCGTATTTTACATGTCATAACACTGATTTAAAAAAAATATTCTACAGATGCCAGCTACTTTATAGTGTAATTATTTATTACGAAATAGCTGCCGTTACAAGTACGCTCTTTCACGAACGAATCAGATTTCACGCAAGAAATAGTAATCTTGTATATACAGATAAATATAGAGAACGAGAAAGATCGCGCGAGCTTTCCTACGTCCTTCTATCTTGTCTGCTTTTGCGCCTCTTTGTGTCATGTCATAAAACATATGCGATTTCACACGTGAAAGAATGAACACCAAAAATAGTCAAATGCAACTCGTGATTACGCGCGCTGGCATTCCCGCACTAGATCGCGCGATCAGAATGTGTCTTGTAAACGCAGTAATTGACAACTTACTTTCGATATCTACTACTCCAAACTGACCGTTGCGGTTGGTCCCCCGTCCAATTCAAACGGGTATCGAAATTACGACGGCCGACGAAGATCGAATCGAAGGTTCGAACCCCTAGCAGTGCCTTCAGAGTAATTTCGTATCCGTCAGTCGGGAATTGGTCTTCAGCCACTCCATAAATCATTTGCACTCGCCCTGTAAGCTGTAAAGGCGAACTGCGGCCAACAGCATTACGAGTAGTCCGAAAAAAAAACTCAATAGGTACTGGTGAAATAAAAAGAATTTATTGCCTTTACCTATATATTTCGATGATGCCATTTGTAGTTGACTGTATAACAAAATAGTCAATTCAGTTATTCTATGAAAATATTAGGTGTCGCTTATATAGTACAACGAGCGACGCGGCGCGCTGCGGCGGACGCAATTGGTACTCTACGGATAGGTATGCTTTTCCTCCTGTTATTTACACATAAAATTTGTGACTGGCAACACAAACATATATCCGTCAAAACAAAGTCACAGAATAGGTTATATTACTTAGATTACATACGTGCCTTACAATAGTTATAACCGACTTACTCTTACGGGTTTTGAAACCTAACTTTAAAAGGAAGAAAAAGACATTAATTAATAACTAATATATCATTAATTATATTCAGTGTTAATATTATCCTCCCTAAGGTATCAATAATTTTTCATTGTAATATTTTTTGTTTTCCTACTGTTCGGAACATTATGTACTATATTTTCTACATTTGTTGTTTATAAATGTTTCTTTATGTTATGTCTTCCCTTGGTGTATATTGCTGTCTATATCTAGCTAGCAGCAAACCCATTAATATAGTAATTGTGGATAAGCCCCTGCGTTGCTATATACTATTTAGCGACAGATTGACAGATTGTGTTGTGTATAGAAATAATACACTTGTTGAATATTTGGGATAAGAATTTATAGAACCATTAATTGGATATTATTGTTGGTTTATAACCCAACTTTCTAATAAGAGTAATTATCTTTATCTAATATATAAAAATCTCATCTCAAAGCGTTTGCTATTGTTATCGAGATGATTCTCATTGCTTTGACCAATTTTTATGAATTTTTTTGTCTATTTTGGTAAGGCTGAGAATAGGTTTTTTATTGTTTTGATAATTGATGAACCCACCCGCTCTAAATTCTGGTAAATTTACTAGGAATTTATGATGATGGTTATAAATTCTTCTATGTTTTCCAGGGGGAACTACATAGAGATCAAGCTATTTTTTATAGAATCCCTAGGTAATAGGGGTAGCCCCATCCAGAAATAATTTACATGACAAAACATTATTTGGGTCAGTTCATTTCCTAATGGTAAACACTTCTCTTTAGGTATGTTAAAAACCAAAGTTCTTTTTTTCTGAACCTTTTCAACAATTAAACTCTCTGTTTCAGTAGTTCAGGCCAGATTCTTTACATAATAGTTGTAAAGAACTAAGTATTTAGCTTATCAATTTAATAACATACTTTGTATGGGAATAACTGCAGGAAGCTGTTAAAATTCAATTAGTGAGTATTCTAATAACTATAGTCTGAATGAAGAAGAAGGTTCTCAATGTAATAGCATATTATTTCTCTGTTTAGTGTTAGAGAATATATGCAATATAATTTAATAATTAAATGTTCACATTTTTTGCACTTGTAAACCTTTACTCTTTGAATCTGTTACTAATCTTATAATTATTGTTAGTTTATATTAGTTGTAATTTAATGTTTGTATACTTCTTTACATAGGCCTTAGCTGGCAAAAACAATATATATTTTTATGTATTGTATAAATTTTGACATGAATGTCTAAATTTGAGCAGGAAAACATTTGTTTCATAACCAGCTGTATTTTTTTTGATACTGGTAATATCTATGATTATTTCGTTTGGGTTTGGAGTACACCTGATACATTAATTCAATGTTTTTTTATAAATAGGAGCCATTAGACTAATTTAAATAATAATAATGTCTTCTATAATTAAAAAGCTATAGTGCAAAGCAAAATATAGAGGCATCTAAAATGAGCTATAGAAAACCACTAGGAAATTATCTAAATGACTCTTAAATACTATGAAGAAATGCACAAAGTACTACACTGTTCTTCAGGTAGGCATGATGAATCCAGCTCAAGATGGTTTAGCGCCACCTGGTGGTGCTCCCTCCTACCAACAACCTCTTTACTTGCAAGAACCTCATACGCCAGTTACATCTCACAGGTATTAATTACTTTTCCTTAACTATTTAAGTATAACAGTACTCGCTTTGAAATTTTATCTGGTTATGTTATTACATCTTAGCCATATCTCAACCAATGTAGATAATTGGCTTACCCTTAAAATAAAGACAAACCTTATACAAGAAATATATGAGCATAAGAGGGCCTATGACCATAACATAAATGTTTTTGTAGATAGTCTTTCTCTCGTAAAATCTCTTAATTACATATATACTAATGAATTAGACGTTGTAGTGGTGCTGGTGCCCCAGCCGGTAACTACATCATACAGCAACAACCGGGTGGACAACAGCGATTACTAATGATGCAACCAACACAAGTTATGAGTGGCCCACCAACACCAAGTACTCCCACTCAGCCGTCAGGACCTGTGTATGGATCACCACAAAGAGCTTCGCCACCAGGCACCACTAGTGATGACTCTGATGATAGTGTGCCTTCTCATCATTCTCAGGTATGTACAATAATGAATTTGTTTATTACACTCACTGTTTTCCACACTTTCCAATTCATAGACAAAATGTAGGCTGTATTCTTTCTGAAGAAATGTTTTTTCAAATTACTATGATAGTTCTAGAAATTACACCTAGATATATGTAATTTTTTTAAAATAGAAACCTGTTCCATCCTTAATTAATAGATTAGTATACATTTATTTTATTCTGCTGTCTACTATTTATTAGTATAAATGAGACCATAAGTATTCAGCATGGAGATCTGATCACCACTACTAGAAACAATGTAGGGACTCCACAAATGTTTCAACACAATGTAGGGAACACAGCTTCATCAGCCAATTAAAATATCGAAAATCTATTATTTCCTGCATCCAAACTTCATAGTTTGGATGAAAACAATAAAGGAAGAAACAGTCATCTGTTTCTTCCTTTATTGTTTTCATATTCATCTCTGTTCTAAAGCTTAATTCAATTTGCTTCAAAGTTATATTTAATATATATATATTAATATATATATATAATATTAAGATAAAAGCAAGAAAGAACTTTGTCTTTTCTTTTAATATTTACAACAATTTTTATGTAATATTTTATAGCTATATTAATAGGTAGATATATAATTTGTTTAATGTCATTGTAAGTTATATATTCTATTTATCAATTATATATTGCATATACATGTTATCAACTATAGGAGCTGGATGCATAGTAAGTGAGCAATCAAGCAATCACTCTTCATAATTACACATTATTAAAATATTCCTAATAAATTTCATTACATAGGTAAGTATTTTGTCTTCAAGCTAACTTTCATATTAATCAGTTTGTATATTTTAATGTCCACATTAAATAAATTATCATGTTTGATAACTTGTTGTTCACCAATATAATAGTTACAATATAATTTCACATTTATTTATAATCAGTGCTTACTTAACATTAGTGTAATGATTACTCTTTCAAACATGAAAGTAAAAAAATAGTAGTTTATATTAAACACCTTCCTATACTATTTTGGAAGAATATAGTTCATTGGTTTCATATCTTTCTTTCAAAAATAGTATACTTAATTTATTCATTCAGTAGAATATAATAAAAAAATTAATGAATTGGTTGTTTGTTGCTAGTTGCCTGGTGATGCGGAAAGCCTTCTGCCTATCCATTATTGCTCAGCGAGCCGGCAGCAACAAACTACGCTTCATCAGGTATAGGCAAAATTTTATCACTATATACATAATATTTTTTATAGATATCTAACACCAATGAGCTATATTTCTAATTACAATAAATAGTAAATCTGTATCTGTTTAACTCAATAACTTTACAGTTGTTGAAAATAAAATAGGGAAATCTCCTTACCTTGCTTGGTATGTATTCAATATAAACATTTAAACTAAAAAACTAGCTAATTGTACTAAATTACAAACATAAAATAGGATAGTACTTCCATGCGATTGTAAACCATACCAATTATTTATTTTATAATTATAACTTTCTTGTTATTTCAATTGCACAGATAGGTGTTAACAACATGGGTGTAAAAAGGTCTTCTCCGGAACCTATAGATAATGGAGTAAATCGTGGTCAAATGCAGAAAAAGCCCAAAGTACAGAAGAAAAAGAAAAAAAGAGATCCCAATGAGCCACAAAAGTATGTCAAAAGTGTAATTCAGTCAAAAATATTATTATTCCTTTTAAAATAATAATATCTTGTAATTATTTTTAATTGGCTTACTCATATGTATTATTAATACTTTACAGACCTGTATCAGCTTATGCTTTATTCTTCCGAGATACACAGGCCGCCATAAAAGGACAAAATCCTAATGCTAGTTTTGGAGAAGTATCGAAAATTGTAGCTTCTATGTGGGATGGATTAGATTCTGAACATAAAAGTGTAAGTGTAAAATTTTTTTTCTTTCAGGTTAATGTCATTGATTGATTGATTGATCATTAATCACATTGACCAGTTTTAATAAAACTTCTATAACCTAAATTATAATTACATATTTTCTCTCATAGGTTTATAAGCAGAAAACAGAAGTGGCAAAAAAAGAATACCTCAAAGCCCTTGCTGCTTATAGAGCTAGTTTAGTATCAAAGGTAAGTAATTTTTTTTACTTTTATAGACTTTTGTTTATTAAAATTCTCAAAATTATAAGGTTACCTTATAATTATAAAATCTAACATTTAAGTATACGAAAAACAATTTGGAAATTTTAAGAATGCACAATGTAGCTGTTAGGTATAATAACAATAAAAATACATATTTTTAAATTAGCAAACAAACTATTTACTTTGCAATAGCTAGATATATAAAAGCCAATACCTTCAAAAAATCTGATTATAGCCGGAAGGGCTGATCGCAGATAGAAAGAAAAAAAAAAAAAAACTTTGCAATAGCGGTCCCAAGGTCGAACTATACAAACTAGTCAGTTTTTTATTCTCGGAGACTAAATTGACAGGTGTAAATGTCAAATTTGTCCCTAACCACCTGTAACTGGGATACGGATTTATTAATTCGTAAGTGTTTATTTTTGTATATTACTTTTAAATCGCTGTACAAAGTTTCTCGTCATATTTTCAAGATTAAGGACTGCAACACTGCTGATTCCATTATGTTGCACTTGCAATGCCACTGTAATTGTATTATGCAACACAAAAATACATTTTTGTAGTTTCTGTATATGTATATACTAATAAGCAAACTTAGTCTTTGTTTTAGAGAAATATATATGTAAATTTAAAAATGTATTTTTTGATAGGACAACCCTATACCTATACTTTATTAATTTTTTGTTAATGCGTTTTAAATAAACACTGACCCATTTCTTTCTGAAAAACCTATAAAAATGAGTAATTAATATTAATTTCTGGTAGTGCACAAACCTATTAAAAATTTCAAAATGCTGGCAATATAGGTAATTTTAAAATCTCCGGATTTAAAAACAAACTATAGTGTTTTTGTTTCATTTGATAAAATATTATAGACTGTTTTTTAATCCCGGAGACAAATTACCCTACAATCTTACGTACAGCACTACCCTGCTACAGATAGTAACATTATTTGAAAATTTGACATTTCACCTGTGAAATTATTCTCCGCGATTAAAAAACAGACTATACCACTACAAATACAAATGTAAAGTAAAAATAGGGGTGTTTCAATCTGTAATTTTAGCTACTTCGTTACTTTACATTTTATCTAGCAATTTTTAGCAAATATTTTAGCTACTTGGCAAACGTCATAGTGGGCAACACTGTTGTCCTCTGTCAAATTTCTGTTTCATGTTTCATTTCATTTGCCTCGTTTTGTCAATTTTTATTTTTTATATATTTTAAGCTTATTAATTTCAAAACATCTACAGGTTTATTTATTACATGAATTACGAAACTATCAGTATTATATTTAGTTTACACTTAATAGTTCCAGTAGAACTGCTGTCTTATTTTTGTTTATAGCGAACTTTAAGCTTTCGTGAATTTAAGCTTTGTAAGTTGTTTTGTCTCTCAGTTATTAAATTATGCTTAGTATTGTCATTTTTTATAGTTTATTTATTGATTATGTGAGATTTTATACCGCGTATTTGTACTTATTGAAATATTCGATAATATTTATATAATTATACATATTTGTACCGTCTAACTCTTCGTTATACGTACATGCAAGCTATACATATTAAATTTATATAAATTTGTAAGCTTTTTTCCAGTCTTATAAAACTTCACATCTCTATTTTTAATAATAAGATGCTAAGAAATTATCTATCGTCAATGTTTTTGTTGTTGATATTTTAAAAAAACACGTTTCTATTATTCCTGTGTACTGTTACATTACCATTTGATTGTTTTAGACTTGTTAATCTCAGATTTCTAGACTTTGAGTATAGCATGGCAGTAATGCCCTTTGAAAAGACTGATTCTTTAATAACAATCATTGACATTGAAATTTACTTAAGAACCAATTTATAAGTAAACATAGAAATTTCAAAAATACTTTAATTACTATTGAAACTTGACAGATCATGTAAACATTTCAAGAGTCGTACCATTAATCTCACAGTTTATGCTAAAGATTTAATCCATCCATGTGTTCTTTTATAGTATATTTATTCATTTTATAATAATTTCTCTTTACCTCAGTTACATAATATTTAAACTTTATTTAATGTTGTTGCATTAAATAATCTATTACTATTGTTTTTTTAGGGAGGTGAACAAGAAAGCCAAGCCATTTATAATCACACAAATAATACAAACCCGACATATGGTAATTATTACCAAGGGCAAACTTATGGTAATGGTCATTCACCCCAAAATTACGTGCCAAATCAAGCTCCACAGGGATACTCACCACAAAGCTATTCCGGTGCACAACAGCAGGCCACTTACCAGGGACAGTCAGCTCAATACTCTTCTAACCCTCAACAATCACCCCAGAGTTACCAAGGAAATATGGCACACACACCTCAGACATACCAAGTAATTATATTCTGTAGTTAAAATCTAAAAATGTTTATCTTTAGTCAAGATATCTATTTATAAGATAAGTATGAAGCCAATTGTATTAAAACTCATTTAATTTGTAATGTTTTTAGTAAACTGTAATGAAATTATATTTTATTGGCATTTTTCCTGTGGTCTACAAAAATATTTTTAGTTTTTCTTAATTTATATACATATTTTATTATATATACCTACAGAATATGTAATATTTTAGTCTTGTGCTCATGTTAATAATTTGTAAAATATATCAGAAAATGATGATATAATAATTGCTGGAGAATGAAATTTCTTGATTTACAAAGTATACCTAATTATTCATCTAATAAAGAAATTCTTTGACATTCAGCCTTGCATTACTTGTAATATGCCTGACATAAACTAAAATTACTATGGGTGTTAAAACTATTAATAATTCTTTTTTAAATTCTCTTTATATCTCTTTGTATCTTATTGATATATATAATATAACTTTGTGTACCCCATTGCTTTCATAGACTCATACTAACAGCTAATTTGGATTGTAGATCTATAATAATTGGATTACTGTTTTTCAGGGAGTTCCTGCACAGTCTCCTCAAGGATACCAAGTGAACCCTGCTACATCTCCTCAGAATTGCCAACCTAATATAGGACAGTCACCACGAAGCTATCAGCCTGCACAGTCTCCATCTAGTTATTCTGCAAATTCAGCTCTGTCACCTCCAGGCTACAGACAGGTGCCCTCACAATCTCCTCCAATGGGTTCAGTCCATCCTGTTATGCAGTACCATCATTCTCAGCAAGTAATTAAGTGGTTTAATTTATAATTATTTATGACAAAATTGACAATTTGAACATACCTGGAGTAATGTCCTTTAATTAATTTGATTTCTATTTATTATTTTATAACAATAGTGTAAAGCACAGCCACTGATAGTTTTTCTGAAAGGTTTACATGTGTAGTATATACATATAGTTCTATGAGTTCTATTACATACATTGTAGGCGTGTATCATAGGGGAAATTTCAATATTAGAAATTCAATTAATTATTTTTAAACTTGCCAGCAGATGCAACAAGCTCATCAACAAATGCAGCAGGTCCATCAAGTACAACAATATCAGCAGCAGCAACAGCAGCAGCAACAACAGCAGCAGCAGCAACAACAACAGCAACAGCAGCAGCAGCAACAACAGCAGCAGCAGCAGCAGCAACAACAGCAGCAGCAGCAGCAGCAGCAACAACAAAATCATTCAATGCTGAAAAATGACCAACTGTCTTCAAATAATAATGGCAATTCAGGCATGCCACAACAGTCTCCAGATGTGAGTAATTAGTACATAACGTAAATATTGATATTTTATAAGTTAAAATTAGGATCCAGGATAATATATAAATACATTTATTAAAATTTGTTTATTTTAATTTTAATCTCTTCACATTACAATCAGTTCAAATAAACTTGTATGAACCTACTATGAAAAACGTTATAATAATTTTAAATATGATTGTGTTGTTTTCAAATTAATATATAAGCGTATCTAAGCACAAACAACAGTTGATTAATGTAAAAATAAATTCATTGCAGTTGAATGACAATAGAAGCACACCCTCTTGTATCCGTCAAGGCTGCACTAATCCAGCCATTGCTAATAGCGAATGGGAAGATGAATACTGCTCCAATGAATGTGTTGTCAGTCACTGCAGGTCAGTCAGCCAAATTTGATGTATTGTTTCTATAATTAATATCACAGAGTTAAGTGTTCTTGAAAATTCTCGATATTTTCAGTATTGCAACACACTCTCTGACATGACATAATGGACATTCTATATTTCCTGAAATAGTTAATTAAAGACAGAAACTATGAATAGGAGAACTGGCAATGATAATTCTTTTTTTTTTACTATATAACTTAAACTGTTGATATGTTATAGTGTATAGTCAATAAAAACCATATTTTTTTTATTTTCAGGGATGTCTTCAGCTCATGGGTAGCATCAAATAGTAACAACCAAATACAAAACTTTTCTGCTGTCAAGTAAAATACTATATGTACATATCATATTGTAATAAATTCCTTGTAAGTTATGTATGCTAACAATATATAAATTTTAGCATAAATATTCTTTGTTTTATGAATACATAAAGAATGTATTTCTCTTATGACTATGTATTTCCTTTGTTACTTTTTCTGTAATTGTAATCTGGAATAATTATAGATCCATTAAATATATAAAAATCTTTATTGATAAACTATTAATGGATGTTTTGTTAGAGATGCAAGATTTATGACACACAAATGTTTTAGCAAGAACCTGGCTGTAAAAACAAGAGTCAATATAATATAGCAACACCATATAGACAATTGAAGTAATTCAAGAACATTATAGAACATTGTTAACAAAGTTTGGCAACTAAAAAAATACAAATACTCAAAGTTATAAAAATACAAGTCTTAACTCCATCTTAAATCTTTTCTCGGATAAAACTGCAATATACTGCAAAGTTTTAATATTTTTATTTTACATTAGATATTATTATAAAATTTATAAACAAATTTTATTGCATTGTTTTAAAAATAGATACTTGTATATCTTATTTCACAATATATTCAAGTGTGGAATGAATTCTTTAAATATTTTGAACATGTAGAATACAAAATAGAATTGTAAACACTCTGCCTTATGATTATAATGCAGACAAGCATATAGTATGGCTTTGCAATTATACTTTATTCAGAGATATTTTACTTCATAAAATATACAGTGTTTACTTAGTGTATTAAATTGCCTTCAGGCAATAATAGGTCGGCGGTTAATATTTTCATAACTATACCACAGGCATTTAATCAACTTCATATATATATCTGTTTTTGGGATAAGTGTTTCGACTGCAATGCTGCAGCATTAAAATTATGGAGTGTAAATGAACATAGCACTGATATACACATGAGCAGCTTATAAGTACCACGTAATCACTGATCATGTAGATTGTGATGTTGTGCCTAATTATGGTTATTAATTCTACTGGCAATTTTAATCATCAATACATGTATTAATTAGTATACTTGGTAGTGAGCAAAAGGTTTAATTCGTTCCTGATTAGTAAATAGGTCTTCTGATCTTGATTTTAATAAAATCAAGAACATAGTACTGATTGGCAATAAATTTAGATTTAATCAATAAAAATGATTAATAATTATAGTTAAAGGCAAATAAATTCTTTCTGTTTTCTCAATGTCGTACAAGTTAGAAATATTTAATAGTTTATCAAGTCAGATTTATAACAACATTATTATCCATTAATAATAATTTGCCTTAATAATATTGGAAATTAAGTTTAAAAAGGTAGATAACTGTGTTTAGCTCGAATAATGCTTAACGTTGTTAATATTTTGACAACATTTACTGTAATTAATATTGTTTTTATGTGTAGTATTACTCTGTCGATGGTAAGACCGGTGGACGAGTTGATAGATCAAATATCGTGACAAACGCATTTATTTTGTAAATATTGTAATAGCAACTAATTGATTATTCCGCATTTTAAGAAAATTTTCTAGACTTCAAATAAAATAATAAGTACTGTTAATTAAGAAATTACTCCTTTCAGTAGAAGTTGCGATTAGTATGTATAGGAATTAGCTGGACCAAAATTTTCTTTATAAAAGCGATGATAAGGATGTAAGATGCAAATGGTAACTTTCGAATACTGTATATTCATTAAAATACTTATAAAAAATTGTAAATAAACACTCGCAATAATAGAAGTAGGTAGGTAGTGGTAGAAACTACGTAAAACATAAATTTTTATTTTATGTTATTTATTAGTCTTGTTAGATTTTCACCTATTAAAAAGAAAATTATTTTAAAATGTAAAATATAGCAATGTATAAAATGTAAATTAGACAATGATTATATTAAATTTCATAAACAACAAGTTGTTTTAATAATTTGATTAAACTACGTTTCTAATTTCGCTGTTATATGCTTAAAAATATAAATTTATATGCATTTCATATTAAGTTCTAAGAGTAATAAATTGTGTAAACCTGCGGATTTTCAATAACTCTTAATCTTAAAACTCTGCTGATAGTTATAAAACATACAAATACAACGAACCTAACAAAGAGTAGAAGCCTTTAATAAGCCGATACTATTTAATAAAAAAAAAGCAAAATCAATAAAACAAAATATAATGTATTAAGGATACTGTTAGTCATAATCATTGCTTATTCCTTATCCTAAGTCACAGTTAATATGTGTGTGTATATACGAATATTTAGCTTCTATTTGGCCTATTCGGTTACATGTTTTAAAATTCAATAAGCCACCAAATATTGCGTACTATTCAGCATCATACTGTGATATTTTTTAAGAGAAATTCAGTCATTACGCACCATTAGTCACACAATTTGACATAACAAATAATACGGGTTCTGACTTTGCCTTTATGTGATTAAGTTGCCGAATATTCGGCGCTTCTAACGAGAGCATGGCATTTCTAATTTGTAGTATCCCAGACATTAATTTTACACGATTCTTCGTTACCTCCGAATAACTGGAGTCACGTACTTTTTACCAGTTTAAGATAGGTATCCTAAATGAATATCTTTTTTAACTTAGAGAAAATCCGTCATGGAGACCAGCAATGAGGTAAACGGCTCACTAAAAACTTCAAGGTATCCCAAGGAAGCCCTATAGCCGGAGATTGTCAGACTTGTTGTTTACTTATTAAAATAATTTTATTAAAGAACAAAAGGTGGCCTTAATTCTACAAGCATTCTCTACAGGGCAACCTCAGAATTAAACAAAAAAAGTCATGAATAGAGTATGTACTTCATTAATCAAGTACAGATTATATCAAATTAAATGATACAAATAAAGTTGTAACGACTAGAAAATTGTAAATATATAAAACTAATCCTTACTAATATTATAAATGCGAAAGTAACTCTGTCTGTCTGTCTGTCTGTCTGTCTGTCTGTCTCGCTTTCACGCCAAAACTACTGAACCGATTTAAATGAAATTTAGTACGCAGATAGTCTAGACGCCGAGGATGGACATAGGCTACTTTTTAATGCGAAAAAAGGGTTGTAAGGGGTTCAAAATGGAAATACAAGGTTATCTTTATGCGGTTGAATCCTTATTCGTCATATTTTCATTTCACTAGCTAACAACCAATCAACACATCGCGTGCGTTTGCGCCATTCGCCATCTTTTCATTTCACTAGCTAACAACCAATCAACACATCGCGTGCGTTTGCGCCAATAAGGTATCCATCACAGAGAACAAAACCACAGATAACATAATGTAAAACGAAAGATCTTGCCGGAAACATGACGTTGACGTTTAGTGAAAATATTGTTTTTGACACTTTTTTATGATAAAATCGTATATCGTGTGTATGTGTTTTTCCTTTAAACCTGAAATTGGCCGATTGCGAGACAAATTTGGCGATTTTTTTTATCAATTTGTTTTACGGCTCTGGATACAAGCCCAGCTTAGCCCAACTTAAAGTTTTACAATATAAATTACAAAAATTAAAGTCAATATCCAATGTTAAATAATAATAAATGACAAATGTTGTTTCCCTGTTCTGAACAACTTAAAAAAAAACTATTAAGTTTTCTTTTTAAGTTGTTCAGTACAATCACAATTTCTTCAAATTTTATTATTTACATTTTTTAAAGAATGTTGTGGTGTGGCACTATCCGAAATTAAATTATTTACCCATTTTTGTAGGTTATACAGAAATAATGTGTGGGTGTTTATTTAAAAAGCATTAACACAAAATTAATAAAGTATAGGTATTAATAAATATATGGTTGTTGTATCAAAATAGAATTTTCTTATTTTTCACTAAAATAAAAACTAACTGTCTTTTTTATAAAATAAATGACCTTTTCATTATGCCATATATTATGGAACTATTTAAATTATTTAGCTGATTGTAAGAAACAAAATGTTGGTTTGTAGATTAATACTGTAAAATTATTATTTGTACGGAAACGATAAAAATATATTTTTGTGCTGCGACAAAAACTAATATTATAAATGTGAAAGTAACTCTGTCTGTCTGTCTCGCTTTCACGCCAAAACTACTAAACCGATTTGAATGAAATTTGGTATACAGATAGTCTAGACCCTGACAACGGACATAGGCTACTTTTTAATGCGAAAAAAGGGTTGTAAGGGGTTAAAAGGGGGATGAAAGATTGTATGGAAGAATCGTCATTTTTGAAGCTAGAAGCTTGAAACTTATTTTTGAGACTGTTGATTAAATATAAATAAAAATGACATTCAATGTTTGTAAAAAATTACCCTTAAGGGGGTAAAATAAAATAGGGGATGCAAGTTTTTATGTAAATTCGTCATTTTTGAAGCTAGAAGCTTAAACTTATTGTTGAGACTGTTGATTAAATATAAATACATATGACATTCATTGTTTGTAAAAAAATTACCCTTAAGGGGGTAAAATAAAATAGGGGATGCAAGTTTTTATGTAAACACGTCATTTTTGAAGCTAGAAACTTGAATCTTATTGTTGAGACTGTTGATTAAATATAAATACTTATGACATTCATTGTTTGTAAAAACAAATACCCTTAAGTGGGTAAAATAAAATAGGAGATGCAAGTTTTTATGTAAAATCGTCATTTTTGAAGCTAGAAGCTTGAAACTTATTTTTGAGGCTGTTGATTAAATATAAATAAATATGACATTCATTGTTTGTAAAAAAATTACCCTTAAGGGGGTAAAATAAAGTAGGGGATGATAGTTATTATGTAAATTCGTAATTTTTGAAACTAGAACGATGAAACTATTTTCATTGGTTCTTTTGGGATAGATTTTTAAAAACCCCACTAATGTTATAACTGTGAAAGTAACTCTGTTTGTCTTTCTGTCAGTCTTACGCTCCAAAACAAAATAAAAATTTAAATGAAATTTGGTACACAGTTAGTTTACACCCGGACAAAGAATATAGGCTACTTTTGAATGTGAAAAAAGGATTGTAAGGGGGTTGCAATGGTAGGCTGTATGGAAGAATCGTCATTTTTTAAAACTAGAAGTTTGAGACTCATTTTTAGGCTGTTGTTTAAATATATATATTCAATGTTTGTAAAATGTTTACTCTTAGGGGGAGGGGGGGTAGTAAAATAAAATAGAGAATGAAAGTTATTGTGGAAATTTGCTGTTTGTGTGGTTGTGGAAGCTAGAACGATTAAACTTTTTTCTTTGTCTTTTTAGGGTTAGTTTATTAAATACCTTACTGATATTATAAATGTGAAAGTAACTTTATCTGTTTGTCTCGCTTACACGCCAAAAATACTGAACCGATTTAAATTGAAATTTGAAACAGACATAGATAGACTAGATCCTGAGAAAGGACATAGGTTACTTTTTAATGTGAAAAAGGGTTGCAAGA